TAGAATTGGTAGAATGAGGAGGGGCTGAGTTCATGTGGAACTGCTTTTAGGAAGTCAGGAGTTGGGGTGAGAATGTCCCCACAAAATTGAGGAGCTGAGGTACTGGGATTTGGTGGAGCCTGTGAGCTGTATAACTTGTTGCTCATCCCTGGCTCAAACCAAGAGCCCCCACAACATAAAGACTGAGATGGAAGGCCCTGCTGTCCTGGCCTGGTAGGTGCTGGGGCACAGGGGCTCCCCTCTTTGAGCAGGCCGGGGGGCTGGTGTTCCATAGCACATATACTGGTGTGAGGAGGTTGGGCAGGAGAGGTGGGGGAGATACAGTCTAACCTTCAAGACTAACCCCCCAAAGTTATAGCCAGTCACCTGCTTGGTCCAAATACACCCCAGTGCCTTGACATGTTAGCTTCCAAAAAACCTAGGGTGAAATCTTGGAGTATGAGGTGAGGGAGACCTCTTTAGAATGGAGGCTTGAACTTGAAAGTGGTGCCTGCCTGAGTATGTGGACTGAGGCTCCAACCTGCTCTAAGGGTTTGGGGACAATTGTGCAGCTGGAAGGGCATCTTTGGTCCTCTCTGAGGCTTCAGTGAAATCACTGCGGGGCTGTGGTTTTTTCAGGGTGGTTAAAAGTAACAGCTCCTGAGACAAGCCAGCTGTTTGCAATGGTTCTCCTGAAGGTGGTTCAAATCCTTCTTTGGAAGCTGGGGTAACTAGCCAAGAAGAGGTATATAAAAGAGAGAGGTGGCAGAAAGCTGAACAGATGCAGTTTCTTTCCACACTGTTCATTTCCAACAAAGGAGCAGGAGCAAGGGCAGGTGGCCTCCGGAGTGGCAGCTGCAGCCTTCTGGGTGTGCATGCCTCCTTCCTGAGACACAGCCATGCAGAGCTCAGCTTCCTGGAGAAAGGCCACATTGTCACCGGATATCATTCTTGTGTCCCCAGCTGGGTCAGGTCAGGGCCAGATGTGACTCTGGGGGAGAGGAGGGGTGGGGTGGAGATGCCTACCTCACTTCTCTCTATGATGTGTGTGGAGAAAAAGAACTTGCCTTTCAAGAAGTGGATACCAGTTTAGGCTCCTAGTCTTAAAAAGAAAACCTGTGGCAATACTGCTGATGTTAAAATTTAATCATTTACTTATTTCTAATTTGCAACTGACTAATGTATGACAAGGGGAGTTGAAATTCTAGGTCTTCAGAGCACCAGTCCTGGACCTTTGGGAGAAAATGCTGCTGAGCTTGTTCTCTGTTTCCATTTTGTGAGCTTGTTCTCTGTTTCCATTTTGTTCACTACATTTCCACTGAATATACCGGCTTTCAGGGGTCTCTCACCTTGCTAACCAACTCAGGCTGCAGTGCTGGGCCAGTCCCAGCGGCCACAGATGCAAAGAAAGCTCTCGCATCCCCTGCGGGGCTTAAGAATGGGTCCTCAGCTGAGCTCTAGGTGACCCCCTGAGGAATCTTCCTGTCTCCCAGAGCTAGTACCTTCCAGAAACAGCACCTAGTACCCCACCCTGGCCCAGGGCACACCCCTAGCTGGGCACTCCCTCCTCCTAGCGATTGTTTCTAGGCCTCAGGAATCTGTTTATTTTAAAATCCGTGCCCCCAAAAGACATGTAGGAACTGAATTTCTGGACCATTTCCTCTTAGTCCTAATTTTGCAGGTGAAGAAAGAGGCTTACAATGAGCAAACGTGTTCTCAGAGGGCAATTTAAACCAGTCTCCTTGGACTGTGAGCTGATGACTTTGGGAACAGTTTATTGTGATGCTCTCTGTCCCTGCCAGGCCTGTACTCTGTGCTCACCAGACTAGCCTGGTGTGTGGAGCTAACTGTGTACCTGGCCTCAAAAAGTAGGTGCCTTGAGGCCCTCCCTGGTGGCACAGCGGGTTAAAGCACAGCACTAAGAAGCTTAAGCCACTTCCTCATGAGTTCTATCCCCGAGTTCTATCCCCGCCTGCCCTGAGGTGACCACATGGCGCGGCAGACCTCTCCTGACCCGCCCGCTGCTCCCCTCAGCGGTGTACTTCGTAGATCTGCCTGTTCTGCTCCCCTCTTTGTCTCTGGTGAATCCTCTCACCCTCCGCATCTCTGGCCTGTACCTCAGTTCTATATGAATAAATAAATAAATCTTTAAAAAAAAAAAAAAAGCAGGTGCCTTGATAAATATCAAGGTCCACACAGAAATGGAAGTATTGGCCCTCCCCGGTGGCGCAAAGGGCTAGGACGCAGCACTGCAAGCTGGCTGTTGCCTCTTCAGTGAGAGTTCCATCCCCTCCCCAGAGGTGATCCACATGGCACGCAGACCTCTCCTGACCTGCCCGCTGCTCCCCTCAGCAGTGTACTTCATCAATCTGCCTGTTCTGCTCCCCATTCAGACTCTGGTGAATCCTCTCACCGTCCCTGACCTCTGGCCTGTACTCCAGCTCTGTATGCATAAATAAATAAATCTTAAAAAAAAAAAAAGGAATGGAAGGATCACAAACCCAATCTTGCAAGAAAGACCTCCCCTTTTCTGAATCATGATTTCAGAAGTCAGTGAATCATGAGCACAAGGAAAATCCTTGAGGCCTTGCAAGGGACCCACACTATGTGAGCAGATACAGTGGGTGACTGAGGTATCACTGACCCCCAAAACTTCGAGTCTGTTTCTCCCCGGAAGCCATCCTTGGTGGAGTTTGGCAACGGCAGACCAGGATCCCGGGCTGAAGCCAGCTCAGCCGCCTCCTCCACAGCCACTCCCTCTCCCCGAGTCAGTGACCTAAATGTGGATTACAGAGAAGCTAAGATTCGTACCAGAAAGTGTCATGTTTGGAATGCACGTCACCTAATCCAGCCACAGACAGGAGCCAGGAGCACCTGTCGGCACCCTTCCGGTAAATGAAGGAGCTTTCTTTTCTGTCTGCCAAGGGGCTCCCTGGGCCTTTGATGTCAGCCAAATCAGCCTGTGCGTCTGGCTCTGTGCTGCCCTTGGATGTTCCAGCCCGGAGGCTGTGAGACCCCCTTCCCTTCCTGAGAGTTCTGTCAGCTGCGCCAACACCAGCTGCCTGGTAACTCTGGGAAGGGCGGGTGGGGGGAACAGGGCTGGCGCAGTGCTGCGCCAAGCCGTCTTTCCTTTGATTTTAATCCCCCTTCCGATGATGAGATGGCAAAATCCCCATTCCTCCCACCTTCTCCTTTTGCTTAATTCTCAGTTTCTACCAGGCTGAGGTGCTGTCTGGATGCAACCAGGAAAGGTCAGGCCACGGGCGAGTGCAGCTGAATCAACGGGATGTGGAACTTCAGGGAAAATTCCTTTTTTGGAAACCAGGCAGTGGCTTTTCAGGGCGACTGAATCCTTGGGAAGTGACGCCAGCCCACAGTCAGGAGCTGCCTCCTCTGAAGGTGCTGGAAAGCAAGCGCAAAGCCCCCCTAATTTCAGGCTGCTCCCCCCACCCCACCCCCACCCCTCCGTGGGCAGGGCTTTCAGCAGAGCTCCTTATATAGAAAAGGTTTACAAAGAGGCTCTGGGGCAGCACACGGATTACATCTGAGTAATCTCTGTGAAGCTCCCTCTGCCAACGGCCTGGTCTCATTCTATAAAGAGCAGAAGGGGGAGGGAAGGCCAAGAACGCCTATTTCTTTGGCTATGATTTTTAAAAAGAGGCTGTTCTGAGGTATCCTCCTGAGACTGCCTTACCTTTGCCTTTCCTGCCTGCAGGGGATCAGTCCCTGGATCTGCTTCTCCAATCAGGCAGTTCAGAGAAATTGTGGCACCCCCAGGACTGGAGTGGACCCTGATGACAGGGACTGAAGGGGGACTGTTTGCGGAGGGGGTAAAAGTCTGGGCTCCACTCCTGGACTTGCCAGTGAGCTGGAGTTGTTGGTGATGGTGCAGGACAGGCTGGGGCGTCTTCACGGTGCCTGAGCCCTCTCTCAGTTGGAAGGGGAGAGAGACCCCCAAAGAAACCCAAGCCTTCTTAACAGGAAAATTACAAATCTGAAGGGGAGTACATTTGGCTCCTAGCATCTGTTCCCCTAGTTCTAGCTGCAACACCCCCATTCCCTTTGGGGAGCCATGTTTCTGAAATCAACCCTAATGGCCGGGCATTAACTTTTCCAGTCTGTGGGGTAGGGTGCGTAGCCCTGCCATGTGATCCAGAGTGTCCCCTGTGTGCAGGACTTGGGCTGCTGTGGAGGCTGCCACCTGGCTTCCAGGAGAGGGCCTGTGTGGGGTGACATCACCTCCCAGGGAGGCAGGACTTCGAGGTGCAGAAACAGTCTCCCTGGCACCTGGTCAGAGAGCCCTGTCCAGCTGTGCCTGCAATTGGAGACAGACTGCTCTCGCCAAGCTTCCTAAAAGACGGTTCTACATTTGCAGCCCAGGGTCTTTCCCAGCAACACAGGCACAGCTGAGAAATAAAGGCGAGGTCTGCTGGGCATCAGCCCTAGGTTTCAAACGGTTTTTTAAATTTTTTTGAAAAAAGATTTATTTATTTATTCATACAGAACTGGGTACAGGCCAGAGGTGCAGGGGCGGTGAGAGGATTCACCAGAGCAGAGTGGGGAGCAGAACAGGCAGATCGACAAAGTACACTGCTGAGGGGAGCAGCGGGCGGGTCAGAAGAGGTCTGCTGCACCATGTGGTCACCTCCGGGGCGGGGATCGAACTCATGCTGAAGTGGCTTTAGCTTCTTAGTGCTGGGCTTTAACCCGCTGCGCCACCAGGGAAGGCCCTGGGTTGTTTTTTGTTTTTTGGTTTTTTTTTTAAAGAAAAGACCGAAAGTGCTGCTTGAAGTGCAGGTCCCTAAGCTGTTGGGTCCCTTTGGGTTCATTCAGGACCCATGTTAATACACACACACACACACACACACACACAGAGTAACACTCTACAGCTCATTATTTCTGTGACACCAAGTACTAAGGAAGTCTTGAGCAATTAAATCCATTAGATAAGCTTTGCTTCTACTTGAAAATCTTTTTTTGGGGAGAAGAAAAAGACACAAGGAAGTATTATTGCACTTTAATGTTAATAGTAACTCTTGTGATTTATTGCAGGAAGCAAGGCACTAAAAAGTCTTAATGCAAGTGAGTGCTGTTGCCAAGCCACAGTCCTCTTCATTGTTTCTTTCCTCCGGCCCATGAACCCTCCACCCCATCTTCTCCTCTTCAGCCTGGTGTGCACAGACCCCCTGGCATTGCCAACAAGCCCCTTTGACCCGGGTGCCACTCCTGAGTAAAAGTGACCATCAGCCTACAAGAGCATGTGGTTAAAAACATGAACTTCTTTCAAATTTGTCATCTGAAAGGGACCGTTGGCATCACATCGAGAGCCAGCGGAGCCCCTGCAGCCTGCACCCCTAGTCCCACATGAACCCCCGCTTGGGGCGGGACTTAGGAGCGGCCTGTTCTTCTGTGTCACCCAGCACACGGAGCATGTAGGTGCCTATGCAGATGAGAAACTGTCCGGTCACTTGGGCAACATGGGACATGAGCCGCAGCAGGCATCTGCAACAGAGGAGACAAAGGCACACACCAGGGTTAGTTCTGGGTCAGCAGCAAAGGAATCCACACACGTACACACGCACTCACACACACCACCCCACACGCATTCAGGACAGGTGTGAGTGTGCCAGAATGTCTGGGTCTAGTGACCAATGACAGGTCATGTTACTGACCCAGCTTCCCTTGGGGCCACACTAACATGCAGAGGTTGAATTGGGGGTCTGGGATTACACATTCTGGGGAGCTTCCACTGACTTGGAATCACCCTCTGAGTGACATGGCTTCCGCTTGCCACTTCCAAACATGGCCAGTAGCTTAGCAATGAGAAAATACTAAATAAGCTGTGAGTGTACACATCTCATCACATCCCCCAGTCTCTCCTCAAGCTGGGGGCCTGGTTGGCTGTGTGGGGGTACTTATTACTAAAATCAAGTGGGTTAGGTGTGAAAGAAGTCGGACTGAAGCAAGTCTTAGCAAACACTGCATTTGTGACCTAGGACTGGAAAATCTTGTCTCTGCCATGGCATCTAAATCCTATGGCTGAGTTGGACATTCATAGTGTTTCAGACTTAACCAACAGCTCTAATTCAAATTCATATTTTCTACCCCAAGTCCAGGGCTAACTGGTTTCATTCCAGCTGTAAAGGTCTATTGCTTCATAAAGACAGTTCATATAGACTGGCATCCCCCAAGGGTCCAGGCGGGCGATGCCTTTGATTTAAGGACCTTCTAGACTTTTGTTACTGCTTGTGGTGCCATTGAATCTCTCAGGTGGTAAGAATTAGTGACAAGGAGAACAAGGAGTTTGTCTTTCAAGAAAAGCTTTGCTACAGAGGGATTTGGGATCAGCTTTACACTCATTTCTATACTTATCTACATTGTGTAACTCTTCTGTTTGCTCTAAAAAAAAAAAAAAACAAACAAGCAATCATGTTGTTGTTGTTTTATTCCCTTAACTCAGCAAAAAGAGGAAGCTCCCTTAGGATTCCAGATTTGAAAACCAGGACAGGAAGTGTGACCAGGCAGGGGTTGCTGATCGGTCTGAGGAAAAACAGGCCACATAGAAACCACCATCGAACTGAGGCTGTGCAGGTCTGAGAGCCTCTCAGAGGAGAGCAATTCCATTTACAAAGCATTTCCATATGTGTGATGCCCAGGGAAGGCCAGGGGAACGCTTGTGGCCACCTGGACAGAGTCCTGTGCATGTGTCATATCCCACAGTTCACCCAGAATCTGTTACCTCAGTGTGGACTTGAGCCCGGTGCACTGGATGTCGTAGGAGACCGAGTATATCTCGTATATGGTGGCCTTCACGTTGAGGCAGCCGATGACATCCTTGGGATTTAGCTTGTACAAGTCAAAGGTGACTTTGGCTATTCCTGATTTCTTTGGTTGCTGGTGAACTGGAACATAATTACTACCCTGGAACAGCGAAGGAAGGGAGAGACCTTAGGAACATTCCAATGATCATAGTGCAAATGCTGTAATTCTGGGGCAGGCTAGTTCAAAATCTGTAGTGACTATATGGCCAATTAGTTACCTGAAGAATGTTTTTGTGAAGCAATAGGGAAGTATCCTTCCCTACTTTGAGTTTAGCGACTTGCAATTGGTGTGATTTGGCTTTAGGATTCAGACATCGCTGAATGGCTGTAATTGGCACGTGGCATTGAAACACACTTGCACTTGGCTTTTAGCACCATCCACAGTTACCTGATGGCACAAGTGGCCTCCTGGTTGTGACACCGCCTGCAAAGGAGCCGGGAAGCTCCTTTGGGTAGCCACTGGGTAGTGAATTTCAGAATCACATGGCTAAAGTAAGTGGTAATGTGAGGGCTTTTGGGATTTCCCCAAATATCTAGTAAATGCACTAAATGTAAACTGACTTTCTGAGACCATCAGGCTGTTTGGTCACAGTATCTACTCTCAGTCTACCTAAAATACCAGTGGGCTCTTCAGGTTGAGAAGAGTAGACCTAAAAAATCCTCAGGTTATAAAGAGCACTAAAACATAATCTTCCCTACCTAAAGCTTTGGAAAAACAAGAGAGAATGAACTTGTTCCAGGGCACAAATGACAGGCCCAATCTTGCTACAGACTTGCTCCACACAATTGAGCAGTATTCAGGGCTCAAAGCTATGCAACCAATAAATCTGTGAGTTCTCAGGAAACTTTGGAGATGGGAATACTGAGGTTAGGAAGCTTAAATGAGCTAATTTCAATAATCTACTATATTTGAAGTTGAAACCTAAATTCCCCTAAAATTACACTAACCCTGCTCACAAAACCTGCTTTTCTTCTTATCTCTCAGAAAACACACAACTAGATTTTGCTTGTGGCCCGATGTTTAATGCAAAAGAAATTCTACTGCCTCTTCAGAGAGTGGGAACGAGTCATCGTTTGGGAAGCCATATTTCTAAATATTAAGATTACAGACTCAAAGTGGTTTTTACTTACAATTCTGCCACAACTTTTCATCACTTCACTTGCCTTCCTGACTTAGGAAAGTCCTTAACTTAGTCAACATCAAGATGCCCCCACAACCCACCGGCAACCTGCCCTCGGGGACACGGGCCTCTCTAAGAGGCTGAGGTGGGAGGACATGAAGGCCAGCCACCCTGACCTCTCTCTACATGTGCTCTGAGGAACTGCTTCCTCACAGGCTTTGAAGGTTTTAGACTTAAAAAAAGAATACCCCTGTTGGCTATTTCTTGTTTGGAAGTGTTTTTGTTTGTTTGTTTTTGTAAGTTTTTGTCCAAGTCAAATAAAAACACCTACAAGCAGAATAGGTTCTATATCAGCTACTAAAGTCCCATCTTCACCTAAGGAAGATGGCTGGAAACTAAGTCAGGAGAAAACTCTCACACTCACATGCTAACCAACCTGGCACTAGCAGGGAGGGCCTTGAATAGGTCACATCACAGCATCCTCCACTTCTACTGCGTCCTGTCATGCCTGTTGTTCAGCACAGTGGCCCACCACCCCCACACTCTGGGGGCGTCTAATGTCACATTCACATAGGTGTCTCGTTCATAAAACAAACAAATGGGAAAAACTCTCCCTTAGGTTTTTGGTGCCTCTTCTTATCACACATGCTCTCTGCCTTCACCCCTCCTCTCCTCCTTCCATCCCCTCAGAAATACCCCATGATGACACTGACTCCTCAGGTGACTCTATCATCTCCCACCTCAAGAACCTTGGTTTAACTCTTCCTGCCAAGTCCCTTTGCCATGTGAAGTTACCCATCCATAGATTCCAGGGACTCAGATGTGGACAACTCTGGGGTGTCATCATTCTTCCTGAAACACTTTCCTCAAACAAAAAGCAGCACAGTCCAATATTGTCTTTTGAAAGAGTTATCTAATTTAGCCCGTGACGTTCCAACCGATAGATAGGAAACTTCATTAGCTTTAAGGGTATTTTATTATGCTTTTATCTGGATTATTTCTTTCAGTTAGAAAAACTATGATGTGTTTGATATGTGCAGTCATAAAGGAGGAAATTAGGAAATGGGTTTAGGCAATAAGTCAGGAACAGGGTGCCCCACGCTCTAAGTCTTACACTTATCAGTTTGCGTGGAGAGTAATCCTAGATTAGGGAGTATCACCTCCTGCAGCTCAGGGAAGAATGAAATGTCCAGAACACCAACACCGTAACGCAATGATAAAGCAACAAACCAGTTTCAGGAGGATAAACCAGGTAAGATGTGCAAACTCAGAAGGCCTCGGGAGCCTAGAAAACTCCAGGTCCAGCCCATCAGCAAGAGAACCAGTGCAGAGACATCCAGGTTCCACCCCACTCTTTGCCCACTGTGCCCGTTTAAGTGCCTGCTTGATGGCTCCTCAGCAGCTACCCACATGGGACCCCTGGTCCTCTCCATTCGGAGAACTTTCCTATCCTTCTATCCATAAATCTCTTGCTTTTCTGTAATTTTGGTCTTGACACTGAATTCTTTCCTCACCATAGACAAGAATTGAGAATGAACCCATCTGGGTTCTTAGATTTCAGGCCTGCTCCCAAAACCCCAATTCAGGAGTATACATACAATAGATACCAATTTATGTAAAAATAAGGAGCAATAAAGTGGTAGGTAGACACACCACTCTGCATATAACAAAACCAAATATCACCTTCTGTATTCCTCCATCCCCTCAGGAAGAAACCACTTAAGTGTGTATCAGTCCCATATGTTTTAAATTAATTTTTAAAAGGATTTATTTATTTATGCAGAACAGAACTGGAGTACAGGCCAGAGGTACAGGGGTGGTGAGGGGATTCACCAGAGACAGAGTGGGGAGCAAAACAGGCAGATCAACGAAGTATACTGCTGAGGTGAACAGGATTGGGTCAGGAGAGGTCTGCCATACCACGTGGGTCACCTCCAGGGCGTGAGAATTGAACTCATGCTGCAGTGGCTTTAGCTTCTTAGTGCTGTACTTTAACCCGCTGCACCACCAGGGAAGGCCCAATTAAATTAAAATATTTGCATGTGTGATAAAACATTATATTGCTAACTTTGCAGGTATTTGAATTATCTGTAAGTGGCTAGATGCAAAGGTTTTCAAAATGTAGTTTGGAGACACCTGGGGATCCTGAGATACTGAAGCCAAAGCAATTTTCATAATAAACATGAAGATGGGACCCTCCCTGGTGTTGCAGTGGGTTAAAGCATAGCACTAAGAAGCTTAAGCCACTCCGCATGAGTTCGATCCCCGCCTGCCCGGGAGGAGATCCATATGGCATGGCAGACCTCTCCTGACTCGCCCGCTGCTCCTCTCAGCAGTGTACTTCGTAGATCTGCCTGTTCTGCTCCCCACTCTGTCTCTGGTGAATCTGCTCACCGCCCCTGTACCTCTGGCCTGTACTCCAGTTCTGTCTGCATAAATAAATAAATCTTTTTAAAAATTTAAAAAAATAAACATGAAGATGAAATTTACCTTCTCATGAATAGAAGAGTTTTGCACTGAACATTTTATAAATGGCCAATCATGATGTTATAAGATCATCCCTGGGAAATGAGCCATCCAAAGTACAAGACACTTACAACTATGAACAGACCAATAAGAGAGAATGAATAAGGGACAAATAACCATCAACAACAACCTACATCAGATATGCCTAAAATTCATGGAACAAATGGTTATAATAAAACAGCAAAATAGAGGTTTTTCTCAAGTGCATCACATATTTTCAAAGATAAACCATATGTTGGACACAAATCAAATGTCAACAAACATAACAAACTGAAGTAATACCAGTATCTTTTTCTGATCATAATGCTATAAAACTAGAAATTAACCACACACAAAAAAAAGAAAACTAGAAAAACCTCCAACACATAGAGATTAAACAACATTCTTCTCAATAATGACTGGGTCCATGAAGAAATTTAAAAATATCTGGGGGCCTTCCAGATGGCTAAAGCACAGCACTATGAAGCTCTCCACAGCCACAGCAGCACGAGGGAACTGACCCACCGGGTGTGGCTGACCTCCCCTAACCCACTGCTGCTTAGCAGTTATTTCAGTAGATCTGTCTGTTCTGCTTCCCACTTTGTCTCCGGTGAATTCTCTCACCTTCCACACCTCTGGCTTGTACCCCAGTTCTTAAATAAGTAAATAAATCTTTTAAAAGAACCAGATGGCCAATGAAAATGAAGATATAAATCATAATAATCTGGGAGATGCAGCAAAACTGGTACTAAGAAAGAAATTAATTGTAGTAGAGGCCTAATTTAAGAAACAAGAAAAA